TTTTTTTGAGTTGGAATCTTACTCTGTCGCCCAGACTGGAGTGCAGTGGCCGGGAACCTCGACCTGCTGGGCTCCGGCGATCCTTCCGCCTCAGCCTTCCAAGTAGCTGGAACTACAGGCGCGTGCTATCATGCCCAGTTCATTATGATTTATTGTAGAGATGAGGTCTTGTCAAGTTGCCCAGGCGGGTCTCGAACCCGCAGTCTCAGGTAATCCACTCACCTCAGCCTCCCAAAGCACGGGATTACAGGCTGAGCCACCGAGCCCAGCTAATAAATAAATATTTGTTGCATGAAAGAGTGAGTGATTTTACTCAAATGCTGCAGCCAGGAAATAGAGGCACCAGAATTTACTGGGTCTTCAAAATGACCTCCTGTCTCCCCACATGTTCCATTCAAGGGGAAAGTGTCACTGGCTTTGAAGATAGGTTAGAGTCTGGTGAGTAGAGAGGAGGGTCAGCCTTGTAAGTCTCGGTAAACAACCCTTAGCCTGACTTTCATCTGCTTCTTTGCCTTCGTACCTTCTCTGACTATTCCAGAATTTCCTGGGTCATGGGTTTTCTGCCTTTATTCCTAGCTCGCCATCTATTTCATATCTGCTTCAAGGAAAGTCTCAGCTCAGAGCAGGTAGTGAGTGTCAGGCAGGGGCCAGACTCTAGGTGGTGTGTGGATTGGACACCCCCTACTTGGCCTGGCTCTCAGGCCTCTAGCTTGCGCTTGGTTGTGTTGGTGATGTGGCGCTTGGCCTGATGTGATTGACCTGGTTTGGCCCCTGGCCCTTGGCACCTCCTTCAACCTTGGCCCTGAGTTTCAGCTTGTCTCAGTTCTGGTTTGGCTATGATGTGATGGGTCAGACTATGTGGCTTCTCTCCAAGTGGGAGAGAATGTGGTAAAAGCAAACACAATTCCTGTTACCTCAATGGCAACTGCCTCAGATCCTTTTGGGAAGTCAAATGTAAACACACACATCACTAAAAAACAAAAAACATTGTGTCTGCTGACAGCCATTAACCCTTTGGCCAGTGGTGGTTTGGGAAATAGGAAACCTGCATTCTGATCTCCACTGGCTTCTGAACTTTGTCAAAGCCTTGAATGGGCTACCCAGCTCTCTGAATCTCAAACGGAAAAATTACCTACAAAGAAATCAGGTCTGGGTGGGAGAATTCTGCTAGGACCATATCACTGCACACTTTATAAAAGCTATGTACTTTTTATAGTAGAATTGTTTGTGGTATGACGGTATTGGACAAAACCTAATGCATACATGCAACAATTGAGGAAACAAGCTCTGAGATATGTTACATAAAAAATAAAATAAAAGCCGGGCTTGGTGGCTCAGCCTGTAATCCCCGCACTTTGGGAGGCCGAGGTGAGTGGATTGCCTGAGCTGGTGTGTTCGAGACCCACCTGGGCAACTTGGCGAGACGTCATCTCTACAATAAATCAAAAATTAGCTGGGCGTGGTAGCGCGCACCTGTAGTTTCAGCTACTTGGAAGGCTGAGGTGGAAGGATTGCCGGAGCCCAGCAGGTCGAGGCTGCGGTGGCCGGGAGCGGCCACTGCACTCCAGTCTGGGCGACAGAGTGAGACTCCAACTCAAAAATAAATAAATAATATAAAATAAAATAAAAATAAAAAAGGCCGGACTCAGTGGCTCAGCCTGTAATACCAGTACTTTGGGAGTCTGAGGCGAGTGGATTGCCTGAGCCCACAGGTTCGAGACCCACCCGGGCAACTTGGTGAAACCTCGCCTCTACAATAAATCAAAAATTAGCCAGGTGTAGTAGCACACACCTGTAGTTTCGGCTACTTGGAAGGCTGAGGCAGAAGGATCACCAGAGCCCAGCAGGTCAAGGCTGCAGTGGCTGGGGCGTGCCACTGCACTCCAGTCTAGGCAACAGAGTGAGACTCCAACTCAAAAAAAATGAGACCAGGTGTGGTAGCTCAAGCCTGTAATCCTAGTACTTTGGAAGGCCAAGGCGAGAGGATTGCCTGAAACTAGGGGTTCGAGACCAGCCTGGGCAACTTGGCGAGACCTCATCTCTACAATAAATAAAAAAATTTGTGCTCACTTCGGCAGCACATATGCTAAAATTGGAACGATACAGAGAAGATTAGCACGGCCCCTGTTCAAGAATGACATGCAAATTCGTGAAGCATTCCAAATTTTTTTTTTTTTGAGTTGGAGTTTCATTCTGTCGCCGGGACTGGAGTGCAGTGACTGCTCCCGGCCGCTGCAGCCTCGACCTGCTGGGCTCCGGTGATCCTTCCGCCTCAGCCTTCCAAGTAGCT